GGTTTCACCATGTTGACCAGGATGGTCTTGATCTCTTGACCTCGCGATCCACCCGCCTCGGCCTCCCAAAGTGCTGGGATTACAGGCTTGAACCACCGCGCCCGGCTTGAATGTTTATTTAAATGAGAGCACATACTTTCTAGGTTGCCACTATTCCTACCACTCCTTATTATACCCCTAAACCTCCTCATGCATTTAAATTGCTGGTAGCTAGTTAATGAAATACTGAATTCTTTGAATTTCACAGAAATATTCTAGGTGCTATGAAGGATATAAAGAAAAAGTTAATTCTTATTGTTCAATCTAGGTGAGATGACAGGAAAATAATAAGTAAAATACAAGCTCATATTGAATAAAGTATTTAAAGGGATCCATGGGCCAATGTAATTAAGGAAGATGAGATTTCATGAGAACCTTAAAGAATGAACAAGATCAGATAGAAGTAGTGATAGAATTGCTAGGTATGACATGAGCCAAAGACCTAGAAGTGGGAATACACAGTGTATCTTGAGGGGATGCTAAGTGAATTATAGCTGGGCATCGTTCACCTGCCATGCTATAGGCGGGCATGCTTTGCCCACCTATAGTCCCAGCTACTTGGGAGACTGAGGCAGGAGGATTGTTTGAGGCTGTAGTGCACTATGACTATGTTACTGCACTCCAGCCTGAGTGACAGCAAGATTCTACCTGTCTCTTTTTTTTCTTTTCTTTCTTTTTTTTTGACACAGAGTCAAAGTCAATGAGATCTATTGGCAAATGAAACTGGAAAAGTAGTTGGGACAAGATTGTGAATGTTCTGGAATGGCAAGCTAAGGAGTTTGAAATTATTAGAGACAATAGGGAACTATTGGAAACGTTGGGGCAGGAAAATGACACTATTAGGGCTAGGACTTAGAGGTTAATCTGGAAGCAGATGGATGGAGACATGAGAGGCATGAAGACTAAGGAGGCTAACTGCAGTTTTTCAGTTTTAAGGTGGTGAGAGCTTTAACTAGGAGAATGACAGCAGGCAAATGTGAATAACTTAGGGCTGTCACAGAGAAGGGAGGTTTTAGGCCTTGACTTCACTGAACACAAAAACCCTTTTGGTCTGAATTATTAATATGTAAATAGCCAAACCTCACTTTCAGTAGCTAACAGACTACCCTGCACTTCCCTTTGGAAGTGGGAGTTGACCAAAATGAGGAAGTGTAGCTAAATAGGTTACAGATATGTATCTGTGCCTGTGTATGTACGTGTGTATATGTATGGATAAGCGTACATTTGTGTGTATGGCTATATATACATCTTGTTTTGAAATTTGTATAATTGAGGTCCTTCGGTCCCAATTCCAGTGATGCGACTTGCCCTTTATCTTTTTCCTTAAGGTCATCAGAAGCTCAGAAAGTTATCTATAAAAATGAAAATGGCTTTCTTTTTGTGTAGAACCAATTTTGAATTTTTAAAACTTTACATTCTTAAACTTTATACTTTTAGAATTATGTAACTAACCCTGCGTTTTGTTTTGGTTTCTATAGCGCTGCTTGACACTAATGGATAGAGGATTTGTTTTCAATTTGATAAATGACTATATATCTGGATTCAGCCCCAAAGATCCTAAGGTAAGTTACAAGGACACGATTGTAGTGGATGTCAGACATCTGAGCCTAAGACCAAAAGTGACGTTTATTCTCTTCTAGGGGATTTGGAACTGTTGTTTGTATTTAGTACTTGGAATATAGACATACCTAAAAGCAAGAAATACTGAATTGTGTTTTGGGGGTCCCCAGGACCCCCCACATGTTCAGTAGTTCATTCTAAGGATTCACAGACTCAACATATAGTTGTACTGATGGCTAAGATTCATGAGTGTGACATGATGAGGATACTCAGCTGAATCAGGAAAGGAAAAGACATCAAATGGGGTGGGTGCAGGCTTTCTGAGCTCTTTCTCTCTGTGAAGGGCCTCACAGAGCACAGCCTCCTTCCAGCAGTGAAAATGCACTTGTAAATGTGCAATATTTCCGATCAAGGAAGGCTGTTGAAAACTCAGAGTTGAGGGATTTTACTGGGGGCTGATTATGTGTTGGAGGCTGGTCAAAATTCCAGACTCAGAAAGGAAAGCAAAGCAGGTGTTCATTATAAATCATGTTGTTTGTACAAATAGTCTAAGCAGGCTGACACAGAAGGCGCAACTTATCATGTAGGGAACATTTCAAAATTTCATTTTTTAGATGCCAGCCAGCAAGCAGGCCTTTTAAAGGATAGTAATCTTGGACCTGCTATGTTAACTCTTTCCTGTACAGGTCGCATCTCAAGGTATGCTTAGAATACTAAGCACTTCCATTGTGAAAATTAATGTGCTGTATTATATTCTTAAAATAGCGAATGCCTACTAAATATGAGCTAATGTATCATTTCTTTCCATTTAGGTTCTGGCTGAATACAAGTTTGAATTTCTGCAAACAATTTGCAATCACGAACATTACATTCCTCTGAATTTGCCAATGGCATTTGCAAAACCTAAACTGCAGCGGGTTCAAGGCATGTATTTGCATTTTCCATCATTTGAGTTTGTTCTTTCCATGTTTTGCTAGCACTAGTATAGTATAATGTTTTTTAGTTAAACCAGTCAACTTGAAGGTAATCTCAGAATTGTTGCTATTTGAAGTCCATTAATGGTTTTCTGCATTTCTTCTATAATATCAGTAATAATATTCATATTTTACACATACTCAGTGTTAATAGATTGCTGCTTAAATGCAAATGTCAGATACTAGTGAAATTGCTCTCTGTAGTAGTGTTTGGGATCTTGTATAAGACTAAATTAAAAAAACATATAAATGCATTTCTGCTCAAAGCATCAAAAAAATGTAAAGGTAGATAGAGTGAAATAGTAACATGTATGTGCTAAATTTATGAAATGCCTTCAGTTATCTCCATTGTTAGTTTTATTGAATGCTTTGTTGTATAGCACTATTCTTATGTTACTATGTTTTTTATTTGTCCCTTTTCTTTTCATATATTAATTAGATTTTTTTTCATTTGCGGTGGACCGTTTGACTTCAGTAGGTAGGTTTAACTCGGTTCACTCTAAATTAGCTTGCTGTTTTTGAAAACAATTGATTTGATGAATTGCTAAGATGGATGGGGGCTTTGTTTGCTTTTCAAATCCTCCCTAGCCAAAATGAGGCTTTAAAGTAGCCAGAAAATCTAGGAGGCAGTGTGTTTGTTTACTTTTAAAATAAGATTGAGTGTTGCTAGAGAAATCAACTTTAAAACATCTTCCCTCAAAATACAAGTTCCTGCTGCAAGCCAGCATAGAGGCGGTGGTTGGGGAACTGGAAGTTACTTGTTTTGTTTTGTTTTAGTGTGTCACCTCTTAGGCTTGCCTCTTTCTCTCAGATGTTGTTTAGTGACACGTTGGCCACAATTTTGCAGGTGTAGATGAAACCACCTGATTGGATTTATTCAAATCACCGAAGTAACAAATTGATTACCATTAGAAAAACCTACCCAGATAAAGCCACCTTTGTTACTGAGTGCTGGCCCTTGTGCATAGAAGGTGATGGGGATTCACAAAAGAGCATGACTGATGCAGGAAGAAAATAATCTGCCTTGGTCTGTTTAGAAGTATCTGCTGAGTGGTGGTTTTAGTGATGGAGTTATAGCCAGTGAAAATGGAGAAAAAATATTTTTAAACCATAGCACTCCCATTCAACTACCCCCTTATTCGATTCTGAGCATGAATAGCTCACATACTTTACCCAATATTTATTTATAACTATGAGGAAGTCAGGAAAAAGAAGGGGTGGACAGATCATCAGGACTTAGGATTAAATCAGACTCCTCGCAGCATTTAAATCCCAACTGAATATAAAGCATTATATTAAGTGCTGAAGAGGCCAAAAGAGAAATAGAAAACATACCCTTCAGCTTTATGGCCTATCTAATTAAATGGTAGGGGAGAGGAAATAAAGATATTAGAAATCTATCAAAATTGCTAAACTTGGCCAGGAGTGGTGGCTCAAACCTGTAATCCCAGCACTTTGGGAGGCCAAGGTGTG